GGGTTGACCATAGGTCCTGGATAACTAAATAGATAGAACAGTCACCCAGAAAGTGAAAGATCATCCTGGTTTTGAGTCCTCAGGTCCAATCAGTTCAGCAGGGCCCAATTTTTTCACGAATCCTACATACACACACACACACATATAATAGATACATTATGGAATGGTATAGGCTGTCAACGTTGAAATATAACTTTACCCTTCGTTCGAAAGATGATTAGATCACGCTGCTAAAACGTTAACTAATTACAAAAGAGAAAGAATGAGAGAGAAAGAGAGAAATATTGAATGCGTGGGTGAACGGGGGATGGGAAACGGAGATTGGAGAAAGGGTGTAAAGTGAAAAGTGGTATTAGAAAAGGATTTTCGATGGCAAAAGGGTTGGATTCTTGTTTTTCCGGGCACAGGAAATTTAACTGTAGGACTTGACTGGGTTGCGTCTGTATTTGGGAGAAAATGTACAGACCAAGTTTGCTATTGGATTACGATGGAATGATGGAATGATTGCAGTCCTAATGAAGGGGTAGGGGCAAACTGGTTGCACCAGTAACTCTATATTCCTATTTCTACCGTACAACTCGAAACAGAGTTATTCTCTCATTGTCAATTAGAGTAGATCTATCTCACTTTTTCTCTGTATTACTGTAAAACCTATCCCATAGCGTGATTTACCAGTTCTCGAATGAGAACTGCTTAAACAAAATCAACAACAAAGAAAAACGAATGTTTCAATACAAAGAAAAAAAAAGAGAAATATTACGTTTGAATATATAATTCCTTAACAACTATAACAACAAGAAGAAAAAGAACAACGACAAAAAAAAAAAGTAAAATTAAAAGAAAAAAAAAAAAAAGGAAGAAGAGTATGGAGAAGTAGAAAATTCGGTTAGAGGGAAACTTTTCTCTAACAATTTGATCGAGCGTCTCTCCGCATCAGAGTTAACTAATTTCAAAGAAGAATAAAGAACCAAAAAAAAAAAAGGAAAACGGGAAGGTAGGGTAGGGGTTAAAAAAAAAAAAATAGAAAAAAAAAAAGAAAGTAGTCAGACACTTTGATGGGCGCTCGTTGCCCCAGAATTATCCGGTTAGCTCTCGTAGTCTCATAATTATTCGAGGGAACAAAGCAGCGTGTCGGTGCCTTTGGGGGAGAAAAGAATTGTAGGCGCGCGCGCGCGCGTGTGTGCGCACGTGTGCGCGCGTGTGCGCAACAGAGTGGCACGCGAACCCCGTAATCCACCGGGTTAACACTTTGTAATCATAATGCTAGTTAATGCGAGAGGAAATGAGAGAGGGAGAGAGGGAGAGGGAGAGAGTGAATATCGCTTTATTAAGGTTCTTGTTTATATTCACTTCCCTCGAGATGAAAAATAAGGCTGGTGCGCGCGCGCGCACTTGCACGCACAAGAATGAACGAAGCGTTACAATAAATTACGTGCAATCTCTGTTTCTACGTTCAATTAGTAACTTACTTGATTTATCTTTCATATCATATATCCCTATATACGATATCTTACATGCACGTGAAATAATGTTTTCTGATATATTTTAACAAATAATATCTCGTGTTAACAAAATATTTCAATCGGTTTAAATTTAATTTTTAAATAGAAATATAAATATAATCTTGTTACACTATCTCTCTCTCTCTCTCTCTCTCTCTCTCTCTTTTTCTTTTATCTTTCGATTCAAGCTGATTTGGAAAATGTGCGAAGAAGAAAAATTGTGAAAAGTAACGGAATGAGTTTTTTTGGTTAATGTTTTAATTGCTTTGATAAAAATGAATTTCGAGCTAAGGTAGGTTGTAAAAAAATTGATAAGCGCATATATGCGTCTTCAGTCTATGCAGATTATTTTCGTTGGACGCATTTATGCGTCTGTAGCACTCAAATGATTAACAATTAAATATTTACGTAATGTTTTTTCTGTTAATGCAAACTATTTGGATAAAATATAAGCAAACAAGAAATAAAAAAAAAAGAATCCTAAAGACCAAGGAAGGTTAACAAAAAATTGGTATGCGCTTATATGCGTCCTCTGTCCACGCGAATTCCTTCCATTAGACACATATATGCGCCCATAGCAATCAAAGGGTTAATTAAATGCATAGAAAATAATTGTTCATATATTACGAACTGTTAAACTAAAATAGTAATAGTGT